GAAGATGCCCTCTGGTTCCTTCTGATATATCCAATTGATTCAGTTAGTTAGCACTGGCCATTCAAATGCCAGCAAGATAATGTGTACAGTAGGAATTGAGAAATAGAGGCAGTATGCTAGGAATACCATACACGCCATATTTTTGATCCAGATGAAATTGATGCCTTTTTCAAAACAGAGAGCATTTGCTTTGCTGTGTTTCTTTCATAAGTCGCCTACTACACATGCACACTCAATACATGCTCTTCTCAGAAAGAGTGGTCAGGTGCTGGAATGGGCTGCTGAGGGTAGTGGTGGAGTCACCATCCCTGGAGGGTTCAAGAAAACCTTAGATGTTGTACTGAGGGACATAGTTTAGTGCGGTAGATGAGTAGTTGGACTGGGTGATCTTGGAGGTCATTTCCAACCTTGGTGATTCTATGATTCCATGCACAATTTATCTAATCAATACATTGTACTTTGGTGAAACTTATAATAGGCTACTGTTATTTGTAAGTCAGATACTTTTGTCCTCAAACTTTTCCACTAGAAAGAGAGAAGAATAAAATGCAGACTTTGATTTGGCCCAAATTTAGCAGCCCAGTGATGTCTGCCTTTCATACTGATCAAAGCTGTTTCTGATCAAAATTACTGCATAATAATGATATCCTGAAAAATGCTTATACACAAACCGTGACTTCTTTAATTGTGCTGGAAAACCTTCCAAAGGTAAATCTGTCCCATCTGGCCAAGATGAGCTTTGGCCAAAGCTTTTCCTTTCATGTGGATAGAGAGAGAAAAAAGTAAAAAAATAAAATAAAAATAAAAATAAAAATAAAAATAAAAATAAAAAATGAAAAATAAAAATCAAAATTAAAAATTAAAAATAAATAAAAAATAAAAAATAAATGCACGTTTTGCTGATATAGGCATCTAATCTGAGTTTGACCATCTGGGTTCTAATAAGAAAGAGATAGGCATTTCCAAAGCAATTATTCGTCTTACTCTTGGGCACCTGTTTAAGGTTGGAATGAAGTGCTCCCTGGCGGAGTATCCCAGCTCCCTGGACCTAATATTTGGTTAGATGCTTTTAGATGCCTAAATTTGAGGAAGCTAAAATTAGGTGAGATGGATACTGTCTCTAATGAAAATGAAGTTTTCAGGATAAAGAGAGGATGACTTCATTGATAACAGTGTGGTTGAATCAGCAGACCTGCCCTGAGTTAAATTGGTTTGAAAACCAGGAATATTTCTCATTAAAAGCAGGATACGTGCACTGTAGACGGCAGCAGTGGACAACATGACCAGTCCTCATGCAAAGTCTCAGATCTGAAGGTTGCTTTGTTTATTCATCTTTCCCTCTTGTAATTATCTTTCTTCCAAAGCAAAGAGAAGAGGGTGTTGTGCTTCCAGAAGCTAAAAAAAAAAGAAATCTACAAAGTCACCAATATTCAAAAAGAAACATAAATGCATGGTAATATGTTTAGCTCCAAATCTCTGTGTGCTATATGCTCTTGGCTGAACTGAATACTTGGAGTGGAAAGCATAAAAATAGCCACTCATGATATAGCACATGGCTCTATAAGTCAAAATGGATAGACAGATAGATAGATAAATGAATAAATAAATATTTTCTCCAGATCCCTCTACATATGTAAAGTGGAGAGAAAGTGGAAAGTCCCTACATGCAGTGCACTTTCTGGTGTCTCATTAGGTAGCGCTACTTAAATACAGAATGTGCAATCTTATGAAGGTAACCAATTCATTCACAGAAGTAATCCAGCTGAATGAGAGTTTGTATATACTTTAGCATTCATCACCAGATTGTGCAAATATGCTTTGGCACATGTATGTAAGTGAATTACTTGTTTCGACCAAAACTGAGGTCTCCTGAAAGCACAGTAGTTTTTATTTTAAAGGATTATTCTGTTTTCAGGTAAAATGATCTTAATCTAGAGGTTCTCGATCTAAATTTAAATCCTGGCACTGACTGCTGGTTTCGAGCACCACAAATTAAGACTATATAAAATATTTGTATATAAAATGTATTTTAAGGAACAACACAATATTCACTATGCCCTGATTTCACCATAGAAAGTCTGGATTCCAGATATATTTGCTAAATACGTGGTACTTCTCCACTCCACTCAGTGAACATAGGTTCTGATTCTTTCCTTGTACCAGTTCTATATCGTCATCAATAAAGGAATCTGTAAGTTCATGTCAGTTGTTTTCTAAGTGACTCTTGAAATAACTTTTAGCTGAAGTAGTAGAACTTCCCACCTTTTTTCTGAAATAAGGTCTAGACCACATCTGATGAGATAAACTGCCTTGACTACTCACAGAGAAGATATTCAGTTGTCCAATAGAGAAAGAAATATGCTGATTAATGTTTTTCCTTTTGCACTCCAGGAAGAGGAGTTGTCATTATAGCAGTAGTTGTTACTGAAATTTGGTTCAGTACCTCAAATCTACCACTCATCTTCTCCCTGCTGATCGCCATAGTTATCTGTCTAAGATGTATCGGGGGAAGAGCACCAATGTTCATAGGTAAAGTGACCTTTCCCTTCTCTTACCAAAAAAACAAAAACAAAACAAAACAACAACAACAACAAAAAAAAATCCCCTTCCCTCAATAACCCCCCCACAAAACAAAACAAAACAAAACAAAACAAAACAAAACAAAACAAAACAAACGCCACTGAGACAGGTAAAGTAATGGTACCAAGTAAAGTTGATTGTTTTAATCCTGTAGTTATTAACTTGGTCTTACAGCAAACACTGTCAATAACAGTTCTTTTATTGTTCAGTCCATTCCAACTTGGACTCTTTGAGATCACAGAATCATAGAATGGTTTGAGTTGGAAGGGACCTTTAAGATTATTCCAAACTCCCTACTATGGGCAGGGACACCTCCCACTAGGTAATGCTGTTCAAAGGCATGGATTCTACCATTTTTAATAGGAAAGGAGAAAGAGTGCAGTATTTTGCAGTATTCTTCCTTGAAGAGAGAAACATCTTGCCAAAAAAAGGAATATTCAAGTGAACCAAAACTTATTTACTGAATGTTAAAAAAAAAAAATTTGCAAACAAAATTTCTGTTTTTCCCACAATAAAACAAAAGTTGATATTTCAGGTGGAATGAAATATTTTATTCAACTAAAATTATTTTGAACTTGAAGAAATTTTACCAGAAAGGAAACTGCGTTACACTGGTATGGAACACATTTTCTCAAATCAACATGAGACACCTAGTAACAATTTTGTGGACAGTTTTGCATTCAAAAGCATTCCTTTGGACAGAGCCAGAAGATATTTGCTTTTATATGGGAAGTTCCAAAGATGTTTTCTGGCTGAAGACTTGGCCTGGGAGCATATATTTTCAGCTTGGTACAAGAAGTTAGTAGATGATACCACTGTATCCTGTGAAGGAAAGATACAAGCTGGCATATCCTTGCTTTCTTTTACCTTTACTGATTTAAATTTGCAAGCCCTGGAAGACAGGAACAAAAGAGTTCCTGCTGAGAGCTGGGAAGCCAGAGGCTGTCACTCCAAAGAGCCCTCTGAACAGCTCTGGACTATAATTAAGACTGCATGTGTATTTATCATAGCCATCAACTGACCATCACACCTTAGACAACCCACCACTACTGAAGATCAGCATCCCTCAACAACAAAACATCACTGGATTGAGGAGTGGTGAACCATTTTTGCCTTGCTGTGTCTGTGTAGTTATATGTCTGTCCATCTGTCTCTCCTTCCCCATTTTCAACCTTTTCTCTTTATATTATTTTATTTTGCATTCTTTGTAGCAGCTGTTGTCTAATATTGTCTTAGAACTTTTAACATAGAGATAACTTCTCCACCAAAGTACTCTTACCTATATTGCTTACAAATTGTTATTAGCAAATTAGCTGATTTTAGCTCCAAGTAGAGTATTAGTTGTTATTAGTAAGCTCTCAATAAATTTATTTGTATTATTTCTCTGAGTCTTGGATGACTCTGTCATGATAGTGACCTCTGCTGATTAGGGAAGACACAACTCAGGAGACAGAAAAAGATTAATTTCCCTCGAAACACACTGAGTGGGATGAGATAGAAAAAGAGGATCTCTTAAGTCTCTCCCTAACCCTCTATAGAATTAAATCAGTCTTTAACTTGTATTGCTCTGCTATAGAAGAAATCTACTGAAATATATCTTCCTTTCAAAATCAAGGGTCTATATTCCTTCTTTTGTCTCAGCTAGCAGTTCAAATAGTCTACCCTGATTGCATAGATCAAAATAGAATCCTAGAACTGTTTGAATTGGAAGAGACAATTAAAATTCATCTAGTCCAAATCCCCTGCAATGAACAGGTATATCTACAGGTAGACCAGGTTGTGAAGAGACCTGTCAAGCCTGATCTTGAACATCTCCAATGACATGATGCCCACATTTCTGGGCAGCATGTTCCAGGAAGAATCCAATCTAAATCTCCCCTCCTTTAGTATGAAGCTTCTTGTCTCATCACAACAGATCTTGCTTAAGAGTCTGTTCCCTTTTTTCTCATAGCTCCCCTTTAGATATTGAAAGGTCACCCCAGAGCCTTCTGTTCTTCAGGCTGGACAGCCCCAGCTCTCTGTTTGTCCTTGTAGTGGAGGTGTTCCATCCCTTGGATTATTTCTGTGGCCCTCCTCTGGACATTCTCTAACAGGTCCACATCTCCCCTGTGTGGAGGACTCCATATTTGAATACTGTACTCCAGGTGGGGCCTCACCAAAGAGCAGAGGGGCAGGGTCACCTCCCTCGATCTGCTGGCCACACTTCTTTTGACGCAGCCCAGGATACAAGATGGCACATTGCTGGTTTGTGTCCAGCTTGCCATCCACCAGTAGCCCCACGTTCTTTTCAGCAGGGCTGTGCTCCAAACATTACATCTCCTCACTTATATTGAGAGCAGGGGTTGCCATGATGCAGGTACAAGACTTTGCACTTGAATTTACTGAAACATATGAAATGCACCTGGGCCCACTTCTCAAACCTGTCTAGGTTTCTGGCTGGTATCCCATCCCTGAGGCATGTAGACTTCGCCACACAGCTTCCTGTCATCTGTAAACTTGCTGAGGATGCACTTGATCCCTCTATCAATGTTGTTGATAAAGGTATTGGTCCCAGTACTGACTCCTGAGGGACACCACTTCTCAACAATTTCCATCCATACACTGAGCCATTGACCTTCACTCTGAGTACAGTCTTGCAACCAGTTTCTTGTTCAACAAACAGTCCGCCCATCAAATCCATATCTTTCCAGTTTGGAGAAAAGGATGTTATGGTGGACCGTGACCAAGGCCTTACCGAAGTCCAGATAAATTACATCAGTGGCTTTCTCCTTGTCCACCAATGCAGATACACTGACATCGAAGGCAGCTAGTTCATTCAGGCACGACTTGCCCTGGGTGAAGCCATGCTGGTTGTCTCCATATCACCTCCTTCTCTTCCATGTGCCTTAGCATAGGTTCCAAGAAGATCTGTTCCGTGATGTTCCCCACCACATAGATAAGGCTAACAGGACAGTATTTCCCTGGCTCATCTTTTCTACCCTATGAATGAACTTTTATGTATGAACTTGCATGGCTTGCTACTCCATGGAAAGAGAGGGGAAAATTTCTTCACTAAGATAGGAAAAATAAAGTAACAGTAGTTGTTCAGTTCAAAGCGATACCTTCTCTGAGCTATACTTATTTAAACAATTACAATAGGTTAAAAAAAAACTGTCTTTTTTACCTTATTTAACATTTTGTCCCTTCGCTAAATGCAAAAGGATAGGTATATCACATTAAGACATTGTTTTCACATGCAACTTGTTAATATCTACTTGCACAATGTATGATATTTTTTGAAGCTATAGAGAACCATTGTGAGCTTCTGCTGCAACTTCCAGAAATGATTGCTTCTTCCATTGCTTCTTATTTCTTTAATCAGATATTGAATAGGTACTGTGGTATTTGTATAAAGAGCCAATCTTAAAGTTATTGATCTATTGGACATTGTTTGGAAGCTAATGCAGCACTAACTCTAGTTCCTTCTTGACCCAAATAGATCAATTGTTCAGTCATATTGTCTGACCTGCTGTACTTTACTGGGCTGAAGATTAGTAGTTAGAGAAGGACTGCAGTATACTTTACCTTTTTGATCTGAAGTGCATTTTAAGAGTTGCAGAATATCACAACTCAAAACATTTCAAACCATTTGGATCAGACAAACTCCAGTATCAGCCTTTCTTGGATCAGTGAGAATCCAGCCAACTCTGAGAAAGTTAGCTTTTACATGAAGATAAAAAATAAAATAAAAAAAAAGCACATAAATCTCCTACAGGTCTTCAGATTTTTTCAAATATGTATGTTGTTTAATGTCCTCGTCTCCATTATCTTCTGATATTCTCAGTATGACCTCTGACTGCATCTCCATTTGCACTGAATTTTGTTTCTGTTTGGAAAAAAAATTGCATAATGTGCATCTACATTCGATATTCTGTCTGAATTTTATTAAAAGCATGCTATCTGTTTGATGTATCTGGGATTAGTACTGATTACTTCTTCCATAATGATAACTGTGATACAGAGATCACATTAGTTACTGTCTCCCTCTAAAAGGTGCTCATAAGCACATTTACTTCATTGTTATGAACCCTATTTTTTTTTTGGTTATTGCCCTGCAGGATATTGACCAAGAGTTTATGTCAAAGTAATAATCCAGCTTTCCAACATTATATTTATGTGCTGGATCATAGAATCATAGAATCATAGAATCATAGAATCACTAAGGTTGGAAAAGACCTAAAAGATCACCCAGTCCAACCGTTCACCTATTCCCAATAGCTCCTACTAAACCATGTCCCTCAACGCAACATCCAGTCTTTCCTTGAACACCCCCAGGGTCGGTGATTCCACCACCTCCCTGGGCAGTCCATTCCAGTGCCTGACCACCCTTTCTGAAAAGTAATACTTCCTCATGTCCAGCCTGAATCTCCTCTGCCGTAGCTTGAAACCATTCCCCCTGGTCCTATCACTAATGACACGAGAGAAGAGGCCGACCCCCAGCTCACTACAACCTCCCTTCAGGAAGTTATAGAGAGCAATAAGGTCTCCCCTGAGCCTCCTCTTCTCCAGGCTGAACATTCCCAGCTCCTTCAGCCTCTCCTCATATGGCCTGTGTTCCAGACCCCTCACCAGCTTTGTTGCCCTCCTTTGAACACGTTCCAGGGCCTCAATATCTTTCTTGCAGTGAGGGGCCCAAAACTGGACACAGTACTCCAGGTGCGGCCTCACTAGTGCTGAATATAGGGGAACAATCACCTCTCTGCTCCTGCTTGCAACACTGTTTCTGATGCAAGCCAGGATGCCATTGGCCTTCTTGGCCACCTGGGCACACTGTCGGCTCATGTTCAGCCGAGCATCAATCAATACCCCCAGGTCCATTTCCTCTACGCAGTCCTCCAGCCACACCACCCCAAGCCTGTAGCGTCGCCTGGGGTTGTTGTGGCCGAAGTGCAGGACCCGGCATTTGGCCTTGTTGAAACTCATCCCATTGGCTCCAGCCCAGCTCTCCAGCCTGTCCAGATCCCTCTGTAGGGCCTCGCTACCCCCAGGCAGATCCACACTTCCAGCCAATTTGGTGTCATCTGCGAATTTACTGAGGGTGCACCGATGCCCTCATCGAGGTCATCAATAAAGATATTGAAGAGGACAGGCCCCAGCACCGACCCCTGGGGAACACCACTCACGACCGGTCGCCAGCTGGATTTAACTCCATTCACCACCACTCTCTGTGCCCGGCCCTCCAGCCAGCTCCTTACCCAGCCAAGAGTGTACCCATCCAAGCCTCTGGCTGCCAGCTTCTGCAGGAGAATGCTGTGGATAAAACAGCTTATTGCAGCACCATTCTTCCCAATCTTCTTAACTCTTATGGTATGTCCAAAGCCAAAATCTCTGTGGTGTCAGCAATATTAGAGATACTAATCTATTCCATATGTTTCATTCAATTTCTCTTTCCTAGAAGTGTCATCAACAGTCATCTTAGTCACTTATAATAATCATCTAGACAATAATTACAGCTATGCTGAGGTTTTCCTGTCAGAGGTGTGAGTAGTGTTTTGTAATAGGGAACAGAACTGTCTTCTTCCTCTGTCAGTGACGTTTAAATATATATTTTTTGTGGTCATTGATTGCTGCAATTTTTGATCTATACAGGGAATAAAAATGGACACCTGAATAGTAATGAATGCCGTTGTAGATTGCTGGCAGATACAGAGTATGTGTTTAATGATGATTTTGTTTTTACATTCTAGTAGTCTGTAATCAACAGCCACAGGAGTAATTATCAATTACTTACTGGTGAAAAGGTACGAAAAGGTACTGGTGAACTGGTACCAAAGGATTTTTGCATAGAGGAGGCAGCAAATATGGCACCCTTAGGTCAAATTCAGTCAGATATTTTTGGACAGAAGTGTCACAGAAATTATCAAATCTTGAAAATAGAACATAACTTTAGTACAATTCTGGAGCTCTATTGGATTTTTCTTTCCTGAGAAGATGACTATAAAGTAAGAGGGGAACAGAACACTCCTTAGGAGCCATCCCAAAAATGAACTCCAGGTGAAAGTTCAAAACACATGCCATCAATCTCATCATTTTGTGATATCATTATGCAGCATATACACACTGGTTTCTCCATAAATTTGTCTGTAAGAAGGTAAAAGCAAACAAAACAAAAAAACTCACTCCCTTTGCCTCAAAATTCTAATTGTGATTCATGAAGTTTGATGGCCCATGGTTGCTGTCAGAGTTTGCAGCTACATACATGCATTTAGAAAAAAAACAATAAAACAATATTGAAAGGCACACTCTTATTCCCCTGGGAGTGGAGGTGTAGCTCTCATTGGCAACTGGCAGTCACAATAGTGAATGCACTTGCAGAAGAAGTTCAGATATTGTAGTGTAAGTAGAGTAACAGTGTTGAGTAAGGTAAAGAAAAGGGTATGAAACAAAGGCTCCTCAAAAAATGTTTTAAATACATAGGATGAAGAAAATCCTCATAACAGTTTTCTTTTTTATTTACATCTCTCTGGAAAACACTGTTCGGGCACACCTTCATCTTTTCATCATATGCTATAGTAGAACCAGGTAAGAAAATCTTGCTGTGTCTTCTGGAGAGCAGCTCATTGTGTAGCTTCACTGGATATGCAATAAGATAGACTACTGCCTGACGAGAACATTTTTTCTTCCAGCTCACACAATCACATGCAGCAAGAAGAAGCATTGAATATGCTAGCAATGGAGCTGTATTAAGTAAATCACACAAATATTGGAAACGTATTTTCTGTTTCATCCAGTCAATTTGTAACTTGCTAATTTGTAATTTGTTTTGTAACTTGCTAAGAGATAAGTCAGAATCTGAATTTCCTGTCACGTATCATATTTTTCAAAATAAGATTTCTGTAAATGATTTTATCTTGCAGCACAGGCACTGTTGTGGTAGCTTGCATTTCGTGTATTGCTGAGCTTCCTCTTATTTTCTCTAAATATGCGTGCTTACTACATAATAGCCAATGACTTGCACTTCTCCACAAAGAACTTCCCTTTCATGACTTTCCCACATTCTTATACCTGTAAGACCATAGAACTGATTATTCTGGAAGAAGTCATGACTGCTCCTTAAAAGAGTGGTCCACTGAGCGTGGAAATGCTGAAAGGCTTTCTGTCTGAGACACACTTAAGGTAGTAATCTCCTGAGGATATTATCCTTTCTGAGAAAATCGTTGTCCTGTAATCTCCACAAACACTCTGTTCTCTTTCAGCTTCAATACAAACATTCTACTTACCTTTTCCCCAGTTCTTCTTAAAACTGACCCACTGCTTCAAATGCAATGTTATGCTGCTCTGATTGCAGGTAATATTACACACATCATTGTAGCAAGAGAAGAAAGACACTCTACCTGGTGATGAGTCTCATCTGTAGCTAACCAAGTTGTAACTTTATCTGTAGGACCTGGAAAGGGCGTGGTTATAACTTCCAGGAGCCTATACCTACAAGAGAGTGATACAGACACACAACTCTAGAACATCTGCAAAACAAATTATTCAATAATACTTTGCAATAAATTCATCTGAAACAGACATCGGGTAGCAATTTAAATGAGTAAGAAACTTAAATATTGAGAGGAAAACATCCACTCAAATGGAGCACAGTCTCTGGTCTGAGTGAAAGATTCGGTGTGAATGTAACACATCTAAATTTAGGTGGTCAGGAGCTGCCTAATAGCCTCCAGAGATACTCCAGAGCTCTTTCCACTGACTAGAAAGGTGTCTTACACTTCAGTGAAGATTGTAGGTGCCAAAAAAATAACATGAATTAGATGTTAGCATTAGGCAGACATCTATTTCTAAAGATATTCTACTCCTTTTTTGATTCATCACAGACATTTTGCTCAGCATTTTTCCTAGCTCTTCTTTCACTTCACCAGTTTTAACTTGTTAAGTTTTAAAAGGATTGTAGTATGGATATGCACCTGCATTTGAATTTCAACAAAAACAAGAGACTATGGCATGCAACCATGCTTATAGCTGGAAAAATGCTCCTGTTTTCATAAGTAAAAATACTACCTATAAAATGTGATAATCAAAGGAAGAAACATAGAGAACAGGGGCAGGCATAGTGTCAGAAATGTGTTTTAATTCCTATACTGAAATCTAGCGCAATTCAAGTTGAGCAAGAGCGAGGTCTGCACAGAACCATGAAAACATTTTGCACTATAACAAAGGGTTATATGTTGGCTTTCAGTACTGTGTAAATTTACCACAAAAGAAATCTACCAGCTGAACTGATCTCTTGAGACCAGAAGCACTCATTATTTGACCAGAATACTGTTTTATGTTTAGATGCAGGTGGGTTTTAATTGCTTTCCTTGTGCCAGTGGAAGCATTTTGTACTGTATTTTAACAGTTTCATATCCAGAGTTCCTTGAGTTCTTGTTTGCTAAAATAAAGTTTATAGTAACTTCTTCTATCCTAACCAGGAACTTTATTTAGTTTTCAATTAATTAATTTATTTACTTCTAACACTGCTTCAATTTTTCCAAATACTAAGGCATCTTGAGTTATCAGCTTGTCCTGATTTATTCTTTTCCTAGTTCAAGAAAGCCTTTTCTGCTATACCAGTAGGAAATATAAGTAGCTGAGCAGAAAAGCAATGATGTGGAGTCTTTTGGTTGCATTAATTTATTGTGGGTGTAGGGACACTAATGGTACAGCAAAGCAAATTACTTCTGTCAGCCTGACTTTCATTTTTTTACTTATTTCTTGTAAGCTGTCTGAGTTAGAGGAAAGGAATGCTCTAGGCAATACCCATGAATTATGAAATGAAGTTGGGCAACATGGGAAATGCAATTCATCTTTGGTGTGATTAGTGTTGGTAGCTCAGAATGCAGAATCCATAAAACCATGGGGCAAAATCACACTGAGAAGAGCAGTCAGGCTACTGGCAGAGATACAGCTGAGAGCATCTTATGAGACTGGAGCTCCAGGGACAGTGATGGAATCTGTGAGGTGCTCAGTAACCGTGCACTACTGCATACCTCTGATAAAGCAATAGCTGTTACTGCACTATTAACTGCTTTTTGTAAGTAATAATTCATTTGTAAAGATCTCTTTTACAAAAAAAAAAAATTGTATTATCTGTCAGAAATGTGTATTACCTTCTACATGCACATATCAACAAACTTCCAAGGAAAATCAGAAGGCTGAACAATGTGAGGCTTAGCAATATGCTGTCCACAGTTTCTTCTTAAAAAGAAGAAATGATAATGTTAATAATATGGGAAAGGGTAGTTCATAAATTGATGAATTATATATTAATGACTCATAAATATTTCATCATTCGTGGGCTGCTACAGATTTAAAGAGTCTTTTCACCAAGCTTTTTAGGGGAAACTGAGCCTTCTGACTTCAGCACAGTTCTTTCCTTCTCCCTTTAGCCCTCAGCCTTGCTGCTACCTTGATCCCACACTTTCCTCATCTTCCCCTGCACCAGTGGATTCCATTTTCTCCTTTCCTTGGATTGCTGCTCTCTTATGCTGGGCATGGTCAGTCCTTTCACAGCATGCGTTCATCCAGCCTGGATATCATGCTCTTCTGTCTGTCTGTTGCTGACACTCTTGCTGCTGCCCAAGTTGCTTCTGGATTCTTGCTGTTGCCACCTCTCATCTCCACACACAACCAGCCCCCCACCACTGCCTGTTCACCCCTTCACAGCTGTAACTGGTTTAAGGCAAAATGAAAGCAAAATCTTTTTGTCAAAAAAAAAAAAAAAAAAAAAAAATTCTCTTTGAATCAAGAAGCAACATATTTTTTGCATTAGACTTACCTAAAGAAATGCAAGGAAACAATCTGAAAGACATATTTTAACCATTCAGAAAATATTACTGTTTTGTACTTTGTATTCCTTCCTCTAGAATAACCCAATCAAAAATGTTGTGGGTTTTTTTTTTTATTTTTTCAAAATTGTGTTTTTGTTTAATACCTGGCTTTAGAACCATGACTTCAAACTAAGTACTTTGAAGAAGAAAAACAGGAAGGAACAGTTCTTGAAATTTTAGTAGTCCTAGTTCAGAACAGTTTTATGGCCAATCCAGATAAAATTCAAACAAAATGGTTTGAACCCGTTTGGGGTTTAAACAAAAATATGAAATATCACAAAATTAATGTGAAAAGAAAAAAAGCTCTCAGACTTCTAAGCCTAGAAAAACCTTTATGTTCTACTAAAACACAAAGATATTCTCCATTCACTTTAAGCTGAAAAGGAAGTTTTTCCATTGTCTTTCAGGTTGAGTGCTCAGAAAATATGTTCTGAACAATTTCTGGACCATGAAGCATTAATACTTCATTTTGAGGTGATTGTTCTGTTGGTAATCCTTTCTGACTTACACACTCAAGACAAGGGAAAGCAGTGATCTCTGTGTCAGCCAAACCACAAAGAGGTTTGGTCCTCTTGCTTTCTTTCTTTGTTTCAGAAAGTTGGAAGACAAAAAGCATGCGTTCTTTCAGTTAGGTTATTTTATGCTTTGGAATTTTGTTTTGGGTGGGTTTTTTTGTTTGTTTGTTTTTCATATGCAAATGTTTAAACTCAGTCACATACAACAGTAAATTGAACCAAAACAATTGGCTAGGTCTGCAGAATTCAGAACACCTCTGAATTGCTATTAACATCAAAGTGATCTATGAATGCTCAGAAGCTCCAAAAATCAGACCAATTATTTCAAGTTTCTATATATGAATAAAGCTGATCAAACATTTCTCTTTTAGCAGAAAGTTTCTATACCGAACAGTTCAGTTTAAATTGTCTTATTTTTCAAGGGCATATGCTAATTCTGGTGGAAAATGAATATGTTTCCCATGAGAAAATTAACAAATTCTTTTCATGTCAAAGGAACATTTCAGAACAAATATTTTAGTTATGTTTTGAATTATGTTATTTCGTTTTGATGTATCAGCTTTTTAAAATGGAGAATGAAATGTCTCTGAAAAATGCATTCTTAAAGAAATGTATTTTTTAGATGAAACATCAGAGTGTCACGTGAAATAAAAAAAAAAAAAAAAAAAGCAGGTCAGTTCATGTTGCTTCAAGACTTTCAGCAGAAAAACTGACATATTCTGAAATAAAAATACCCAATGGAAGTTTTTTGTGGGTTTTTTTTTTTCACTTTTAGTTTACTACACAGAATGTCTCAATCTTTTATAATCACTGTGTCTAAAAAATTAGGTATGGGTCTACTACGAAATTACCATGAATTACACTACTAATGACAGACTTTTTAAAAACTCTAGGCAGTATTAAAGTACACTTCATAACATCCATTTATGATATATTTTCCCAGTTAAAAACAGCCAAAGTCATTTCAGCTGAATACAAAATAAAACAGACAGAAAACCCTCTCTAAGCATCAAAGGAGTTATTTAAAAAGTTGCCTGAGTCTGTGATCCCTCAATGTAATATACTCCGTAGATTCATATTACAAAAGCCACTGATCCTCTCCAAATACAGGAAGGAAGAAGGGAAATTGCTGTATTACATGAACTTGTGCAGAGTTACACGCTCCAGAGGCAAATCAACTTTCTGCACCAAACACATGGAGATATGACATATTATAAGCAATGGCAGTCCTGTCTACCACAGTTTTTCCTGAAGTAGAGAAAACAAGTTGTGATTGTTAACCTCAGCAACAGCTGTTGAGGAAGTTGGGAAAGCAGTGGTGTTGAAAACAGTTGAAGGACAGTTGCAGCTGCTGAAAGCAAGGTTTTGTAGAGTGGAATTAGGATGAGTGACTGCCCAGGTCCATTTCCTTCTTCTGATGAGGGGCTGGCAGAGAATGGGTAAATCTACATCTCCTCACAAGGAAAAGCCCTTCAAATTTCCCCTCCCTCCACTGTCTACATTTCAGTTCAAATGCACCCAGCCTCACACAAGGCCAGGCAGACATCTGCTGGCCACGCTACTGAGCAAGTCTCATTTTCTATTCAGTGAGAAGAAATAAGAATTTCTGATGAACAAATCTCTGATGGACAGAAGTGCATCCTCTCTTTCATCACAGTGAGCAGATGCAGCTTCTCTCTCCAAGCATTTCGGAAGTAAAGTCTTCTGAAAGGAAGTAAGTGAATTTAATTCAACAGAGATGTTTAGCTGAGAGGTGCCAACAGAAAAGTGGGATGTGGTGAGGTATCTGACGGCGTAGGCAGGCAATATCCTATAAACTCTATTACTGAATTTACATTCAATCCATTGCGAAAATAGCAATGCCTGCCATTGCATTTCCTGTCTCTTCAGATAAGCACGTACTTGAATCTTAACAGATCAGAAAGGCATATTCCAAAATGCATAGTCTGTTGCATTAAATATTTATATTGTATTGTTTTATTAGCGATAGCACTGAACATTTTTACATGCCGTCATTCAGGGAAGTCTATGCACCACTTTTTCTACCTAAATATTGAGTGTTATTCATCCCACTCTACTGCTTCCCTTTTACCCAACCTGACACCATGAAGCAACTGTACATGAAAGCATTTTTTTAACCATGGAAAGTACCAGTTTCCCTTGTTAGCATACAAATTAAAATCTAATCATAGGAGGTGAAGGAAAAAACATGGCTTTTGTTTAATTTATACTAAAGCAAATGATGGGAGTCAGAGCGCATATACTTGAATTAGAGCTTAACCACTTCTTATCTCTGTCAGGTAAGAAATTATTCACAGAATCACAGAATGTTAGGGATTAGACAGAACCTTGAAAGATCACCTAGTCCAATCCCCCTGACAGAGCAGGAACACCTAGATCAAGTCACGCAAGAATGCATACAGGCAGGTTTTGAATGTCTCCAGAGAAGGAGGCCCCACAGCTTCTCTGGGCAGCCCATTCCAGTGTTCTGTTACCCTCACCATGAAGAAGTTTTTTCTCATATTTATAGGGAACCTCCTGTTTTCCAGCTTGCACCCACTGTCCCTTATCCTACCACTGGATGTCACTGAGAAAAGACTGGCTCCATCCTCCTGACATCCTCATTCTTTACATATCTTTATAAACATTAATGAGGTCACCCTTCAGTCTCCTCCAAGCTAAGGAGACTCAGCTCCCTCAGTCTTTCTTCGTAAGGGAGGTGCTCCACTCCTTTAATCATCTTTGCAGCTCTGTGCTGGACTCTCTCAAGCAGTTCCCAATCCTTGAATTGAGAGACCCAGAACTGGACACAACATTCCAGATTGTATTCTCTTGATACAGTAATAAAAATGTTAGATTTAGTTCCTAAGAACTGTGATTTAATGAATATTATGACATTCATAAGTTTCCTGTCTTAAAACTCCAGCTGAAATCATTTCTAAAGATGTCCATTCCAAAAAAGACTGGAAGGTGCACCTTCTAGAAGCTGTCACGAGTCACATTAAGACATCTGCCCTGTGCTAAACTAAGGACCAAGGAAATACGACCCATTAATTCAAGGGCTCTGTTTCCCCACAACATGTAGAACTGTGAGAGCTGGTGCATGGCATGGACCTCTTTGTACTGCTACAGTACAGTGATGCAGTAAAGAGGAGACCCATGACTATAAAAAATTAAATATGCTGAGTGATACTAACATATATGGTTACAGAAGTTACAAATGGTAAATATATGATAACTTACCATCATAAATAGTCACCGGTTCACTCCAATCACTCCAAATCTTGTTCGTTATGCATACCTCTTTCTTGGCCCTCACTTGTGCGGTACATTTTTTTGCTGGTCTAAGAAGTAGATACTCATATTTCTCTTCACTGACATCTACAATCTATGAAGATAGTTTTCAGGGGTTATTTTTCTGTGATTTCATTTTGCAGTTAAAACAGATACAAGTCTAGGAATGCCAAATACTATTATTTATATCTCAAATCCAGTGGAAAAAGATTTTCAGAAAAAATGTTTATATTCAGGCACAATCTGTCTTTTTGATGGCATGTATTAAATCTTAGAAAATCAAGAAGAGGCTGAACTGATAAGATGGAAGAATGTATCAGCTTTGGTCAAATGGTAAGTATCTGAAATCACTGATTCCCCTTTAATTTTTTTTCTTACTCCAAGTGTAGGGTGAATACAATAACAATGAAACTATAAGTTCTAAGGTTTTTGTGGGGGGTAGTATGTTGCCTTTGGTTTTCTGGTAGAAAAAAACAGTTTTCAGCTGTCTAATGCTGTATTGTCTATAATGCTGTATCTGTCTAAAGTAATGTCTATTACTTTAGTGACTCTCTTGAAACATCTTTAACTGCGCTTACAAATCAAAGTATGCCATTTCAAAAGATAAAAAATACACAAGATGTGTTCATAACAGTTCAGACCATCTACAAAACCCTACAAAAACTGGAGCCATACTTAGTATCTAGAAGAATGAGTCAAAATCTACATCTTACATATGACATGCCTGTACACTTTAATAGCTTTTGACCTTTATGTAACAACATGGAATTACTGACTCAGTTTGTGGCTCACTGTAATCCACAGACCTTTTTTCTTCTGCATTTCTGCTTATGCATCAATTACTCATTTGGATTTTGCATATGTGACCTATACTTCCTAACAACAGTATTTTCCTTATTGCTGAATTTTGTCTTGTTGATTTCAGATTTCATCATTTCAAATTCAAATCTTGTTTTCTGTACTACTTGCTAACCCTTCCTAGCTTTCACATATCTGTAGACTTTACTCCCTACTTTTAAGCTTTGTCTCTTTGTATTACAGTATTATTAACATTATTCACAAAGTCACTTCCTTTGGTATTCATAATAAATACAGACCTGCATATTTTGATCTTCCTCTTAAGTGCCTGTCAACAAACATCTATAACCCTGCTTGTGGAAACCCTAATAACAATTAACACAGAACCTCAAACGTGCTCCATCCTCCTCCCTCCTATTCCTCCTGTAACATCACTGTGTTTTTTTCCTTACCTTTGTCTTCTCGTTTTGTATCCCTTGGCTACATAACTACTCTTTTAATTGTTACTAGCTTTGATGCTGATTCTCCTCAAAGCTCCCCTCATTCAGGTATGTTAGCAAAGATATAGGTGCTTCAAGGAAAACACAGATTAAAAGAGAGCTTGAACAAAAACACCAAAGGCTCAGAAAATTCACATTCAAATAACATCTTAACTCCTCAGTATCATATGTTCAGTTAAGTGCTTCCTACTCTTTGTGAGTGTAAATAAGAAGCTGTGTGGAAACATTTCAACTCTTACTACTCTATAATTTTAAACTGCCAGCTGGAACTGCCACCATACTTGCACCATGCTCCATAAACTAAGCTACAACACTGTCCTATTTTTTACTGTTAAAAGAAGCTGCTGATACATGATGAAAGATTATTAAATATATATAATATATGCAAATAACAGGAATGATTATTTTAGTTCTGTATGTAGATATAACAATATTGACATGTAAATTGTAACCACAATCCTGCAAGGATTCACATGCATTTCACATGAATTATTCACTGAATAAGGCATGAATTAAGTATGAGAGGAAATCTTTGCAAGGCTAAAGCCTGATTGCAAATTTCAGGAACAAATTAATATTGCAATCTAAATTAGCAAATATATTTTAGTTTTGAGGAGTACATTGAGAGCTGACATAGTTCTATTTCTATGGTAGAAAATCACATGATTTAATCAATACTGTCTTTCTACAATTTATTAATTTCCTACTAAAATGCAGGGTTATGCAGCTACATTTCAAATCAAGCTTTTTTAAAGTTTCTGTCTAGAAAAGAGAATGCTTTAATATATCTACAAGCATTTTTCTAACAAGCTGCTTTTACATGTTATCTCAAAATTCATGTGGGACATCAAGAAGGAAGAGATGCTATTCAGACAAAAATAGATTCAAAATGTTCTGTGCACGATAGAATCATATTTACATTCAACGTCAAATTTAAAATTAAAAAAAAAAAAAGAAAGAAAGAAAGAAAGAAAGAAGAATAAAAAAAAAAAAAGGAAAAGAAAAAAGTGTAATTTCAAAGAGTCATAGGATGGCTGAGGCAGGCAGGGCCCTGTGGGTCCCTCAGGCCCAGCCCCTGCTCCACCAGGGCCACCCAGAGCAGGGTGCCCTGAACCACGTCCAGGTGGCTCTGGAGATCCCCAAGGAGGAAACCCCACAGCCTCTGGGCAGCCTGTGCTGCCGCTCTGTCACCTGCACAGCACATTAGTGCTCCTGACATTCAGAGGGAGCTCCTGTGTGCCAGCTTGTATCCAATGGCTCTTGTCCTGGCACTGGGCATTACAGAGAACAGCCTGGCTGTGTCCTCTTTGCACCATTCCTTCAGGTATTTATATACCCTGATGAGACCTCCCTCAGCCTCCTCATCCCCAGGATGAAAAGTTCCAGCTCTCTGAGTTGTACCTCATAAGTTAGGTGCTCCAATCCATCCCTAATCACCATCTTCAATTCATGTAAATGTTTTTCTCTTTTTACTTTTAATGCCTTTTGGTTTCAATCAGTACATGCTAAGATTTAAAACTTTTTGTTTTGCTAGAATCATCTCAGGAAACACTTAGCAAAAGAAATATGTCCTTTAGTTGGAATAACTCCCTTCATCAAACAAATACTGCAGGTATAATAACATTTTAAAATCTTTAAAATTTAAAATTCAGAAGTTGTTCCTTCTGAACAACTCTGAAAATAGCTGAGCATATTTACATAAGGAAAAGCGTAAATAAATCTATATATTATTTCTGTAAAAAATAAGATAACTTCAATTCCAGATCAAACATGGTAAGCTGGCATCTGCCCAGTGTATATTGGCCAGCATCTTTCTGGCAAAACACATAGTATCTTTACAGTGCAACAGTAATGATCCATTTATTTCCTGAAGGGGAAAAAAAAATAATTAAATGTTAAAGTCCTATCTTAGGACAGAAATGATACAGAAAAAATGAACTCGAACACTTTTTAATAACATATTCTTCAGGTTGAATATTACCTCTCTAAAAAAAAAAAAAAAGGTTTCTACCGTTACTTTTATTTCTCAGTATTCACAAGTTAGCATCTTCTATTAAAAATAAAAGGTCAGAAATCTAAGTGGTGCTAATGTAACAATAAAATTAATGAAAAACAAAGCCAACAAAAAAGCCCACTTGAATGCAAGCATAAATCTGAAAAAGTTGTAAAATATGTTGTTTCTCTCTTTTGTTGAGAAAGACAAAAAATTTTGGATTATTTATGAAAGACCTTGGGATTTCTTCAAAGTTTGTTTGAATTTTAAATCCTTTAAACACAAGGGATGCCTATTTTTATAGAAATTATGCTATGTGGAATAAGTGTATTACCAAAAATATGATTACCTTACTGTCTGTTATTTTCACTTGATACTTAAAGCACTTTTTTTCTCTTGAACCAATGGTAGGTGGGGGTTTCCAGTGAATTTTAATACTTCTGTTTTCAAGGGAAACAGAGACGTTGATCGGTGGGTTCAGTTTCTCTGGAAATGAGTACAGAGAGGTTTGTGCACTTTGTGTTGTTTCTCATATTTATGTGCATCAGCCCTTGAAACAGACAATTGACTATTATGGAGTTACCACTTGCAAAGAAAACACTCAGTGAATGAGACATTTTCTTTAAAAGTGTCACTCACTGAATGACATTCATTTCTGCCTCAAAATAAAGGGAAAGATTTTTTTCTTCTCAGTATTTCCACCATGTCTCATGGGATACCCCAAGTCTGTCTACGATCCCAGTGATATAATTTGGAAAATAATGGAGTTAGAGCTCTCACTGATGGGATACTGAAGGGCTGGCAACTAGTGGCAGGTCTTATTCACACTGTCAGGTTTGTTACACATGCCTATAATATCTATTTCTTCTTGCAAATAAGCAGAAGAAAACTTGCTGTAGATAAATGTTTTTCCTTTGGAGCAATGCAAGCTTAGGAGATAAAAAAGCGACATGGACCTCTTGGAATGTGTCCAGAGGAGGACCACAGTAATGACCAAGGAATGGAACACTTCCCTTATGAAGACAGGCTGAGAGAGTTGGGGCTGTTCAGCCTGGAGAAAAAAAGGGTATGGGGAGACCTGAGAGTGGCCTTTCAGTATTTAAAGGGGGGCTATAAGAAAAAGGGACAGACTCTTTAGCAGGCTGTGTTGCGATGGGACAAGGAGAACGGTTTCAAACTAAAAGAGGAAAAAACGGTACTAGATATAAGGAAGAAGTTTATATAATAAGTGTGGTGAGGCACTGGCACAGGTTGCCAGGAGAGGTGGTGGATGCCCCACCCCTGGGGTCATTCAAGATTAGGCTGGATAGGGCTTTGAGTGTCCTGATGTAGCTGTTTCCCTGTTCATTACAGGATGGTTGGACTAGGTGACATTTAAGCATCCCTTCCAACTCAAACAATTCCACCACCACCACCGTGTTCCCATCACAAAGTGCAAGCTGCGCAGTAGCCATGAGTTTTTGTTTTTTTTTGGAGAAGGAAGGTGAACTGGTTTGGAAGCAAGAGACATTTTTGCATTTTTAGGTTTTAGCATTTGTTGTAGATAAGCAAGTCCACAGCCACTTTCTATCATGGAGTCCACTGAGGCACTGATCTGGGTACAGATGTGTGCAGGGTATTGAGGCAGCAGGAACCCTCGCAGCTGATGTTGCATTGCCACAAAGGGACGAACCACAGTTGCAGTTCTCTAATCAGCCCTACCAGCAGAGATGTGTTCACCACAAAGTTGTGGGACTGCGCTAGTTGCACGGCTGCAATGTGGTGCTCTGTTTTCCTGCAGCTGTGGCTACATGGCTTGCTCTACAGGAAGGTATGTCGTGCTGAGGTTCCCTTTTTGGCTTTTATTTTGCCTTTCCCATCTACAGGAGTCTCATTTTGGAGCAATGAGAGTGCTCCACAAAGTCAACAAAAGCATCTATACCAACCTCAGCCTTGTAAAGTTGTTCTGTTCTGCCTGCCCCCAAATCTGACCTTACTGGCAGTGACCAGAACTCACCTTAGCGGTCAAGGTGCACCACAAGCCATGAAAGGCGAGGAAGGTAAGCAACATCATCTTTGTGTTCAACCTCCAAAGTGAAAAAGACATATTTTTCACCTCTGAGATATTTTTCCCAGAGGATATCATCTTGTTGTGAGTGCACTGAGGTTTGGACAAGATGATCTGAGAGGTCTTTTCCAACTTTAAACACTCTATGATTCAGCCATTTAGACAGCTAGGACTAAGTTGCCCTAATAAGCTGAGGGTAAGTTTGCTGCATGCCATGAAACTTTTGCAATGTATTTTAGAAGTAAGATAGGTTTCTGCTTGGCACTGGGGCAGGAGGGGAAACTGCTGGCTTAACCATCAGCGAGCTCCTCCAAGTTGGCTATGAAACATAACACAGTGTTCCTGCAGATTAGTTCTTCCCTCCTTGATTTTTTTTTTTTTTTTTTCCTGAAAAAAAGACTTTCATGAAGATATTTTATTTTGCTAAAGCAGAACATACTGCTTTTAACTGCTTTTAACTGCAGTGTAAATACTAAGGTAAAGCCAATAATTCTAATGTATGAAAACACAGTAAATCAAATCTAGCTCGGAAGAGATTTTGATAAATTTGACTGAGTTTTTGCTTTCACCTGAATTATCCTGATTCCTATTTTACAAGTCTGGAATATGATCAATACATTCATTATTTGAAATGTATTTGATTCTGCAATCTGTGCTAAAGCTCAGGAGAATTTCTCACTAATGAGATTAATTCAAGCATCACAGAGAAGTTAGGAAAAATAAATATATCTGATCATTTGGCTGTCAGTAGTTAAAAATCACTATCAAAATATTTTTAACTGAAAATGGCTTCATAAATAAATAGAGATGTTTTTAATGATTCATAACACTCATATTCTCAAATACAGTTATTAATGATGGATGTGTGTTTAGACTCCACGTTAACTTGTTTTCCTCAGGACAATAAGAGAAAGAAATTACAGAAAAGAGAAAAACTGGAGGAAAGAATAGTATAATGCTTTTCAAATTACATGGAATTAAATCTTTAAAGCATTTTCTCACAATATCCTATTATTTTCTAAAGGGCAATTATAGGTAAACAGTGATATTACTTCAAAGAATAAAACTAAAGGCATTTGAGTCACAATCTCTTTCTCTCTCTTTTTTTTTAATCTTTGTGTAAAATTCCCAGGGATATAAATGTATAGCAAGTTGGAAATAATATTCTAGTTTTGTCACACTTCTCTCTTTTGTTTCCTTGATTCCAGATCAATGAAATAACCAATAAACAAGTTTTCATAATAGGCAGTAATAGATAATACTTACCTATTTTCTGAGGTGTAAAACCTTTATAATAAGACAGTCTTCTTGAATTATTTCTCAGATCTACTACAGATATGTTTGAAATTATTTTCTTTAGTGGTTGGAAAGATATATCTTTCATGTGGCATCCAATATTTTTATTCCTTGCATTTTTTATATATTGCTGGCATTCAAAATATTTTTCTATGTGTCTGTGGGAGGGAAATATGAGTCTTTCAGATCAAGGTATAATACAGATTAGACAAGGTATCACAGATTTGGTGTTTTAAAACAAACAAACAATAATTTCATACTAATTTACTAATTTTGCACAAGATCCTTACCTGTATGAAAAAAAATACTGGACATCTGCAGGATCTTCTGCTTTAATATGCCAGGTGCAATTGAAAAAAGAAACATTATATATGATGCATGAAAGATTCTGAATATATACTGCAACAAAGAAAGGAGAAAAAAAGAAAGTGTGCCATTTCTGTTACTTAGATTTTCTAGGAACACAATGGATGCCTTTAAGACCTGTCTTGTATCCTTATCTCTAGAGGGGCAGTTAAGTACTGGGTGAGAGCAAATTGATTTTTTGGGGCAATAATAACTGAGAAGCACTTCTGACAATACAACCAAAAGCCTTACTAATACAGTTAAAGAGAAAAAAAACCATCTGGATTCTTGCTGAAGAACTCTACTCTTCTAAGATTTTCTGAAACCAGATAATACAAAAGGCAGCCTCCAACAGAGTTAGGAGTTAGGGAAGATGGAGACTTGGAATAACATTCTGACATCTCACTCAGCTGAGGTGAACCTAAACATGTCTTAAATAATTACCAGTATTCCAAGATGCTATATGTCATTCTCTTAAATGAATATTTTAAAAATATGGTATAAGATAATAATTAGCTTTTAGAAACTATCCAAGTAAGACAGAACATTGCAAGGAATGCTTATGTGTCTTAATGACATGCAGGAAATAGCTGACCTGGAGGAGATCTGTATGTACATTCTGTCCAGCCGCTCTCCTTAATTAGGTCTTCTGTTTCTTTCATAAAAACTTGTGTTTTAACTTTAGCTTTAAAACCTGTATGTAGCTCAGTACGTATCCTTTTTTTCTTTTCCTGTAGTCTTTCCTAAAAAGAGGAAGAAGGAATTACATTAAGACAGACAGTAATAATGACTGAAAGGCAAATTATGCAAATTCATCTATCAAATGAAGTAATGTGTGATTTCAGTTAAACTACATGTAACCATTGAGCAACTTACTTTCCTTTCCTGAAATGTATCAAAGAATGTGTAACTCAGAATATACTTCACACTGTACTTCTCTGTCTCTTTTTTTGTCAGGTTGTTGTTCCAGTACAGAATAACTTGTGACTCTTTCTTGGTAACCTGCAGATCATTATGTAGCCGAAGTTCATCTGCAATTAGAATGACATTACTGAGAGAAAAATTGATCCCTTACTACATACACAAAGGATTTGTCTCCCAATAAGTCCTGCACACTCATCAGCTCCCCCTGGGAGCTCTGTTCTCATATAGAATAGGTGGTCAAATTCAAGAATATGAGTGACTTTAATAGTGAGATTCACGTTTACCCATCTACATCTCCCAATATGTTAGGTAATGCACTTTTACCTGTCTCGGACAATTTTCCTATTGGTTGTAGAAAGAGACTTGACGAGAAGATCTGATCAGATAACTGAGATGGCTAGCATGGGATGAAACATTACTTAACTTTTTACTTACCCACTACATCTGGTTGTCCTCTTGCCAAACCAGTAGAAAACAGTGTCTTATGTTGGAAAAAGCTTAGCATCAGCACAACAGGAACATATGTAACATGTGCCATATTAAGTGCTTAGGGTCATAGATTTGTAGAAACTGAGAATTTAGTTCCAAGTTTGGCTCACTTAGAACACGATGTTTTCTTTTTTCATCTGTGAAATAATATGACACCGTCACTTAACCACTGAAGTGATGTCAGAAGTCTAGGAAGTAAACATGAAATGAAACATGGTTAATGAGTCTTGTTGGTCACTGCCTACTGTTACCAGGATGCTTGTATTTAAACCTGCGCTTGGGCTGTTTACCATAGTCAAAGAGGATATTTATCATATTGAGCTGGTTTTGAATTGGGTCATTGCACTGATTGTATGGTAAGATCAATGAAATTACAATATTGATAGTGCCTGACAGCAGACAGTTTGAGTGGGAATCACCTGACATAAGTTTGGATAGATACAAAACCAGAAGCTCTATTTGTGTGAGTGACCTAGCCTCTAACAGCAGCAGGCCAACTGTCACTACTGGGTTGTAATTCATATTACCTGTTCCAAGCAACTGCAACTATCTGAGGAGAGATTAATTACGACATTCTTAAAAGTGAGTATTGGGAAGATTGCACCACCTTTGCTAACTTTGGGATACAGTAAGCAGATTGTGCGCTGGTTAAAGTTGGTTTTAGAAAGATATATAAATTGCTCAGACAGCTAAATATTTATTCAAAGGCAGATCTCTTGATGTAAGACGACTTTGCAGACAGTTCTCTACAGAATGAACAAGTCTCTATGATCAGAGTCTTTCATTCACCAACTAACTCATTTATCTTGAGTTTTACGTTTTTCAGTACTACAAACGTACAGCAGAAGGCCTTTTGGAGCAACTGTCTATCTTGATAAATTGACTAACAAGAGGCACAGGTTGTGCAGAGGAAAATGTGTGAATCTTTAGCACACTCCAAAAAAGTTTACGTGTTTACACAAAGTTACCTGGAAATGTATACATACACATATATACATACATATGCACATATAGGTACATTTATAATGCTATTTTGGTTCAATGCAGTAAACAACAGGTAATTTAATGAATTGTATTGTTCTCAGGTTCTCACTTTTGTTTACATCCAAACCCACACTAAAGCAATCAATAGTATTCCTACGAACATTTATGTACTTTCTACTCTCTAGAAAGTACATAAATGTTCTACTCTCTACTCTTTAGTCAGTAGAAAGAGAAAAATGGGGTGAAAAACACTAAAAATTTAAATATGAAACATTTGTAGTTGTGAGTACCATGACACTTGTGGAAAATGTAAGTGAAAAGACTTAAAATAGGAAAAGGAACAAAATAAATCTTAAAGAAGGAAATGTTGTCAGTGTTAGGAATGAAAATAGAAATAATCTGTGAGACAATATAACTGACTGAACTCAGAGAGATAGAGGAAACAGTGGTAGAGAAGGAAGGTTTCTAAGCTTGAATGATTATTTAAAAGGCAACCATCAGTTTGAGTCAAAAATGGGCATTTCAGGAAAAAGCACTGCTGTTTCCCAGAGGTAACTTGCTCCTAGGAGTACCTTTTGTACAACACTGAAGGCGCTGAAGGCAATCCTATGCTCAGAGCACAGTGAACTCTGGCAATCTGCTGCCATGGGAGGTGTCATGGAAGACAATATCAGCAGGCTGAGAACAAGGCAAAGTAAACTTGTGGAGAGCATGTCTGTGGAAAGGGACTAAAAGTTTGATAGGAAGAAATTCTGTAACATCTCTAATTCAGCAACTGTGGATGCAGGAGTTGGCCAAAGTTGTGGATTATTTAACCTCACAGGTCATATCTTATGTTTACACACAACCAAAGTATCATAGAATGATAAGTTTGAGAGGACCTTCAAGATCATCAAGCTCTGACCCCCTGCCATTGACAGGGTTGTCAACCAGCAGATCAAGTTTCACAGGATCTCAACCAATTTGGCCTTGAATGCCTCCAGAGATGAGGCATCCACTACCTCTCTGGACAACCTGTTCCAGTGCCTCACCACCCTCTAAGCAAAAAATTTCTTCCTAACATCCAATCTGAATTTCCCCGCTTTTAGTTTAAAACCATTCTTCCTTGTCCCATCACTATCAGACTGTGTAAGAAGTTGGTCCCCCTGGCTTGTAAGCTATCTTCATGTACCGGAAGGCCACAATGAGGTCTCATGGGAGCCTTCTCCAGGCTAAACAAGCCCAGTTCCCTAAACTTTTCTTCATAGAAGAGGTGCTCCAGCCCTTTGATCATCTCTTCATGGCCCTCATCTACACCTCCTTCAACAGCTCTGCATCCTTCCTGTACTTGCGGGTCCCAGGTTTGGACACATTATTCCAGATAGGACCTCACAAGGGCAGAATAGAAGGGAAAAATCCCCTCCCTCTCCCTGCTGGCTGATCTTTTGATGCACCCCAGGATATTGTTGGCCTTTCAGGCTGCAAGCACACAATGCTGGCTCATGTCCAGCTTTTTGTCCACCAAGATTCCCAAGTCCTCCACAGGGCTGCTTTCAATGAGTTCTTTCCCCAGTCTGTATTCATATCTGGGACTTCCTCAACCCAAGTGCAACACCTTGCAGTTGTCCTTGTTAAACCTCCTTATGTTCTTTTGTGCCCACTTCATGAGTATGTCCAGGTCCCTCTGGACAGTATTCCTCCCTTCTATTCTGTCAATTGCACCACTCAGTTTGCTGTCATCAGTAAACTTGCTGAGGTTGCACTCAATCCCACCATCTATGCTATTGATAAAGATATGTAAGAGCACTGGTCCCAAGACGAATCCCTGGGAGACACCACTCGCAACCAGCCCCCACTTGGACATAGTGCCATTGACCACAGTCTTCTAGCTGTGACCATCCAACCAATTCTTTGTCTAGTAGTCCAGCCTTCAAATTCATATGTCTTCGATTTAGAGATATGGATGAGGTGTACCATCACGTCAAAGGCTGTGCACAAGTAGAGGTAGATAATGTCCTTTGTCCACCAATACCATCACTCCATCATTGAAGGCCATCAGACAGATCTGGAACAATGTATACCCTTGGTAAAGACATATTAGCTGTTTCAGATCACCTCCACATCTCACACATGCCTTAACATCTCTTCCAGAAGAATTGGCTTCACAATCTTCCCAGGCAAAGAGGTGAGGCTCACAAGCCTGAGCTCCTTCCTCGGGCTTTCCTTTCTCCCTTCTTTGAATATGAGATTAATATTTCCTTTTTTTCCAGTCACCAGGAACTTTGCCTGACAGCCACAATTTTTCAAATACAATGGAGAGCAGCTTGGCAGCCAGTTCCTTCATGACCCTGGGATGCATGTTGTATGGTTCCATAGACCTATATGCACTCATTCTCATGAAATAGTCAATGAATTGGTCCCCAGAATACAGCAGAGGGAAAACACTACAGGTGATCAAAAGGGGATTAAAAGACATCCAAATATAAAAGGCTTTTAGATCCACTACTTGTCAAAGCAAGCAGATTTTCATTAATGTCCATTCAGATGAGCAGGATCACTGAGGATTTTTTCTCAAACATGAACAGAGAGAACAGTGTCCTAGTGTTGTTTTAATTACAAACAGCTTTATGTTGGCATATGGTGCCAAAATTCAGTCCATGAGATGCAAATTAAAATTCACAGCCTGACTTTTTGTGTTTTGAAGGCCTACTCTGGAGAAATAGATTCTAGGCAAATATAGTAACAGGCAGTTCAGCTGTTTTAATAGGATAGAAAATATGTGAATAATGTAAATTATATTAAAAAAATAACCAAAAATCAACAAAGTCAGATTGTTTTCTAAACAGTTATCTGTCAAAAAATCCCACAACAAATCTCTTTTATTATCACAGAATCATAGAATCACAAGGTTGAAAAGGACCTACAAGATCATCTGGTCCAACCATCCTCCCATCACCATTGCTACCACAAACTAAACCATATCTCACAGCTCCTCATCCAGACACCTCTTGAACACTGCCAGGGACAGTGACTCCACCACCTCCGTGGACAGCCATTCCAGTGCCTGACCACTCTCTGAGAGAAAAAGTTTTTCTTATATCTAATCTAAATCTCCTCTCATGCAGCTTGCGACTGTTTCCTCAGGTCCTGTTTGTTGCCTGGTAGATGAAAGTATTCTTAATAATTAAAAAAATACTATTCTTACAATTAGCACGTTTTGTTGTTACTGTCTTTTGCTTAACTCCTTGTTATTTTTTGGATTCCAGGTATAACCAATGCCAGATGGTTACTGCCAAGCAATGTCTTTGTTCCGCAATAGTGGGTTGCTAGAGTTATGTACAGGGAAGTAATGCATGGCAATCTGCCTGTCATGCACCAGAACAGCTGCAGAAACTGTAGAAAATGTGCAAAACACACCTGAATCTGTGAATCTGGAAAGTAGACAGGACAAGAAAATGAAAGTAACAAAACCCATCTGAGCAAAACTTAGACTAGCTACTACGGATGTGTAGAAAAATAGCTGTTTAATTTTAAAAGTTCAAGAGAATGGACAATTTCCCGAAGTATAGAGGTTTGCTCTGGCTATGCATTTGAAGAAATAAATTTTTGAAACACTTGTGGGTCTGATTATTTGAATACTTCTCAATACAAAAGATAAGATCTAAGTAAGAACATTTTTTTTAATTTTCTTTGAAAAAAATTGTTAAATCAACCAAAAAGGCAATCTTGGGTATTCCTGAAATATACATTGTACAGAATTTAGAGGACAAATTCAATCATTAAGCAATAAAATTTTCATTTTTAAGCTGAAATCAAATTAAAAAGCATCACGAGAACTAGCTGAATCATGAAGAAATATCTACAACTTACACATAATTTAAGGCTACAGATTCATATTTTTCTGAATTCCCCATATGTGATAGTACATAATGTTGGCATTGACTAAGGAATAATGAAATAAAAAACATAGGTCAAATAAATACATTTTAAATACAGTTAAAATCGCAGACTATTCACCTTTGTTTTTTCAAATCTTACCTTCCCTTTAATGCATGTTAATTGCATGCTGCATCACTTGGGCTGAGA